TGCTCTACGAAAGTCGGGGATGGCGGGGCTTCGGCACTTCGGGTGAGGAATCTGGAGTCCTGGGAAGCTCTTGGTCCCCTGTTTGAGGCAGACTTCACCCCCTGGGGGCCGGGCTGGAGCCTCCGCGACGTCCCTCTCTCTGCCCGCAGCTGTCCTGGGTCGCCGGACCCCACCGCTGGGCCCGATGCCCAACCAGGACATCGATGTGAGCAACCTAGATCGGCTGGAGAAGTACAGGAGCTTCGACCGCTACCGGCGCCGGGCAGAACAGGAAGCGCAGGCCCCTCACTGGTGGCGGACCTATCGAGAATATTTTGGGGAGAAGACAGGTGCGGGGCGACCAGAGCCGAAGCTATGGGCAGTGGTCTCGGATCCGCACGCCCCCCCCCACAGCGAGCCTGATGGGCGCCCCTGTGTATGCCTGGGCCGGGGAGGGCCTACCTGCACCCTTCCATGCCCTGTAAGCCGAGTAGTCCTGCAAGGAGTTTTCACACCTTTTGCTCCTCCTGCTTGCAATATCGTCTCTCCACTATCAGAGTTCCAACTTCTAAAATACGAATTCCTAATCTCCTTTCCTGACAGCTTCCCCATTCCGATTGGATGGCCCTCTTTGTTTTTTAAAATACCTTGCACCCTTATCCAAGATCACCGTGTTTCCTCACTGCCTTTTCTCACCTTTCCTCAGATCATAAGCACCTGGCACTCACCTTTGGGTCCGTGCACTCTCACAGCACCTGGCACTATGGGTCCGGTACTTTGCTAAGTGAAATTAAAGCCCTGAGCAAGATGACTCAAGGACGCAGTCTTTAAGGAACTTACCAAGAACATCCATTTTGAAAGCATTTATACTTAGTAGTTTTTATGGTGTAAAGGGCACAATCCTGTAATCTGAACAGCCTAATTGAAACCCCAGCCTCCCCTCTTAAGTGATGAACATCCCTGAGCTTCAGTTTCTTCAATCCTAAAATGAAATAATCATGTCTCTTATCAGATTGCTGTGAGGATTAAAGGATACAGCCTGTTGATGGAGAGGGGGCTGGGACGGGGGATTGAACCCAGGTCTTCCCACCAAGCTGCATCTCCACCCCCCATACACACACCCTTCTTTCTTAAGCAGAGTTTAAGTCAGTGGTGGTGAGCGTATGACACGCGTGTTATTTGTTTCCCTTTTAAGACAAAAGATGTTAATGTAGAGTTTTTTTCTAAACTAAAACCTCAGTGTTCAGGTTTATTTGCAGTGTTGGCGCCTTGCAATAAATGAGTGAGTTTGGGGTTGCAGCTTGGGTACTCATGTCTAAGAGGTTCCCCTTCACTGTAAGTCATTGTGTTGCCAGACTAGGCTTGACATCTTCCAACCTCAGTCTCCCAAAAGTGTTGAGATTGCAGGTGTGCACCACCATTCCCTGTGGGTCCACTGAAATTTTTAGACTAATACCGTCCTCGGTGAGGGCGGAATTGTGTGTGTGGTAAAAGGACAGTGGTGTACTGAGAGTTTTCCAGCACCTTACTACTTAAAACTGTGTCTGACACGCTGTTATCTAGGAGCTTGTCATTTCTGAGCTGATTTATATTGCCCATTAAAGTGTAGAAGTGCTCCTTTAAGTCCTGCTGTCAGCTGTCCATTCCATAGAACACAGGTGTGTGTGTGTCCATAGCCCCTGTGAGTCGGTCTGAAGAGGATCCCGATTGTAATTAGAATGACCATCTTTCTCAGTTGCCCATGACTTAGACAAGGCAGTGTGACCTGGTTTAGGGGACCCAAACAGAACCTTACCGTACGTCTGATTTGCTGAATGGGCCCTGTTGCAATCTGGGGAGCTAACTGTACACATTTAGCTCTGTGCATCAAAAGGAAACCTCCAGCAGCAGAGCAAGAGGACCAGGTAGGGACAGGAGTTTAACCAAGAAAATTAATCTTGCTTCCTCCAACCCATCTTCTTTCCCCAGATCCTAGAGACAAGATTGACATTGGGCTTCCTCCACCCAAGATCTGTCGGGCGCAAAGGCTACAGGAACGGAAACAGATCCTCCGGGAGCTTCGAGCCAGTATGGAAGAGGAGCGGGCTGCCCGCCTCCGCACAGGTAGGCCTCCAGGGAGGGGCGCCATTGGTCCCTGCTCCCACTGAATCCAACTCCTCATTCCTTCCCAGCCAGTGTTCCTCTCAAGGCCGTGCGTGCAGAGTGGGAAAGGACCTGCGGCCCCTACCACAAGCAACGGCTGGCGGAGTATTATGGCCTCTACCGAGACCTGTTTGATGGTGCCACTTTCGTGCCCTGGGTCCCCTTGCATGTGGCCTATGCCATAGGTGAGGAGGACCTGATGCCTGTGTACTTTGGCAACGAAGTGACTCCAACTGAGGTAAGTACCACTCCCTGTGTCCTTTTTCCTGCCCTGTGTGTCCCCACTGCATTGTTAGAGACAGCTCCAAGGTTTGGGGTTTTGTAGTTTCTTCATGATTTCCTGGAAAATAAAACATGACTGTCCCAAAGACAGTACTATAAATCTTTGTATGTTCCTGGGACTGGCCACTGTCTTTGGAGTGTCCTCCAGTGCAGTCCCTTGGCACGTGGTCCTTTTTGTGGCTCAGATTTTGGAACAGGCTGCTCTGCAAGGTTCTTCCCATCAGCATCTTGGCCTGTGTACCGCTGTGAGGGGCTGCCAAGGGCCTCGGGTTGGGTCATGTTTCTCAGGAGAGAAATGCTGTCTGCGGTGGCTTGTCTGTCCCTGGTGGCGGTGGCAGCTCTCCTATTCTCTCCTTGCCAGGCTGCTCAGGCCCCAGAGGTGACCTATGAGGCAGATGAGGGCTCCATGTGGACACTGCTGCTCACCAACCTGGGTAGGTATGGGAGGCTCCCCCGGCCTCCTGTCTCCTCTTGCTCCACAGAGCCAGGGAGCTGGGGAGGGCAGGGTAGTCCATAGGGCCTGTGGTCAGGGTGTGTTTCCATGCAGATGGACACCTGCTGGAGCCAGATGCCGAGTACGTCCACTGGCTTCTGTGAGTATAAGGTGGGGCCGAGCAGGGGATGTACAGAGAGAGACCCAGGAGCCGCGCAGGGACTGCCCGAGTTTCAGTCTTGACTCCACCATAGACAAACCATGGGATTTTGAACTAACCTCTCACCCCAGGCAGGGACCCCCTCACCTGTGCTCACCTATACAGAAGGTGATGAGCAGAAGGTACGGAGGAAAATGACAGCCGGCCTCTGCCAGTCTGCACATGTAAACCTGGGATGAGCCACTGCGTGTCTTACTCCCAAGGAGCACTGTGACAGTCACCGGGAAGAGGACTGGGAGAGGCCGCCAGTGACTGTGACACTCCCACACACGTGGTGAACCACAAGCGCCCCTGTTCTGGGGGTCCAGGATGAGCTGCCCTTTCTTCTCAGTGGCTTTTAGCTCTGAGCACCAGGCCAGGGAGAGGTCAGACAGGTGCCCCCCGTTTGGGGTCTTCTAGGTAATGGAAGCCAGGTGCTGGGAGGCTGGCTTCTGTCATTGTCGTTCAGTAGCAGTTACCTACCTGTGCACCTTGAGGGGCTACCCCAGTGCCAGGCTGGGCAGACTACTGGGTAATACCCCAGAGTGCCAGAAGAGGAGAGAAGCAGCAGGCAGTGGCTCAGTTTGCCAGCCTTAGTGGCTGAGGCGGAGTAGACAGGCGGCTCAGCCAAGCTCTGCCAGTCTCTAGAGCCCTGCTCCTTGCCTCTGAGCCCTCCTGTTTGCAGGACATTTGAGGGGTCCCAGAGCTTATCTGTCTGTCCCCTCTGGGAAGGACTTTACCCTCACAGGTGACCTCCAGTGGCAGTTAACAGATCCTTGCCTTTTACCAGAACCAACATCCCAGGCGACAGGGTGGCTGAAGGACAGGAGACGTGTCCCTACCTGCCCCCCTTCCCCGCCCAAGGCTCCGGCTTCCACCGCTTTGCCTTCCTGCTCTTCAAGCAGGATAAGCCCATCGACTTCTCCGAGGATACACGCCCCTCACCCTGGTAATCTTCAGGCCAGTTCCCTTTGCCCTGTCCTCTTCTTGACCTAGGCCTTGAGGCTGGCAGAAGAGCGGGGCTTTGAGGATCGATGGTGGGGAGAGGGTGGGAGAGGGCAGGGCTCAGTCACCCTCTGAATTCTGAGCCGTCCCCATCTCACAGCTACCAGCTAGCCCAGAGGACCTTCCACACTTTTGATTTCTACAAGAAGCACCAGGAAGCCATGACTCCCGTTGGCCTGGCCTTCTTCCAGTGCCGCTGGGATGACTCTGTCACCCACACCTTCCACCAGCTTCTGGGTAAGGGTGGGACAGGACTAGGAAGTGGGGTGGACGGTGCCCAGCTGGGCCGCGTTTCAGGCAAGAAGTCCACCTTGGGCCTTCACTCCTTACAGATATGCCGGAGCCCATGTTTGCGTTTGTGCGGCCACCCCCTTACCACCCGAAGCAGAAGCTCTTCCCCCACCGGCAGCCCCTGCGCTACCTGGACCGGTACAGGGACAGTCATGAGCCCACCTATGGCATCTACTGAGGCACCACATTGCACCCACCCCGGATGCTGGGCTGGGCTGGCAGGAACAGGAGAGGTCCAGCTCCAGAGGGCCAAGCTGTGGCGTCTGCACCTGCCTGAGGCAGCCCCGCTGAGCCCCTCCCGTCAGGCCCCAGGCTTGCAGTGAAGGACACTGTCGGGTGGTGGAGAGAGGGTTGTGAATAAAGAGGATGTCTGCCATCGCTGGCCTGAGTCTGTTCCAGGAACAGCAGAGGACTTCTGGTAAAGCTGTATTGCTTTGTGTGGGAAAGGGGCAGCCTCCCACCCCTCTACCCCTGACCCTGTAATCCAGTGACTGAAGATAAGGACGGCAGAAAAAGCATCTGGTCTCTTAAACTCCTTCAGAGATTTGCTTAGGACTGAGTGTGGAGATCTGCAGTAGCGCATTTGCAACTTGCATAGGATGCACCAGGTCCTGGGTTTGATCCCCAACACCAAAAAATAAAAGACACCTCTGTGTGGTGGCAGACTCCTGTCCCTGCCAGCGTGCTTACCACGAGAAGCCCTGACCAGTCACAGACCTCCGAGCACAGTCACCACTCACAGCCAGGAGGTCCTGACCCTCACTGGGCAGTTAAGTGTTTCTCCCCCCAACAAGGGGAGGGCTGTCACCTTTCCCAGAAAGAATTCGTGTGTCACTTCACAGATGACAACGCAGTGCTTGCAGAATTGCAGGGAGGAGGTACCCTTGCTGGATTGCTTGGGCAAATGCACTGCAGCAATGCTCAGAGACCCTTTCACTCTGCTCAGTTAAAGGGGGCCGTCTGAGTTACTCCAGGGCTTAGAGCACCAGGGCCTCATCTCTGGAGGAGTCACACAGAGAAGGGCAGCTATATGTTTTGGTGTCTTGTTAAAGAGGCCTTATGGGGTGGGGTGCCTCTAATCCCAGCTACTAAGGAAGCTGAGGCAGGAGGATTGAGCTCAAGTTCAGCCTGGGCAGCATGACAAGAGACCCTGTCTCAAAAGAGAGGAGAGCCTTTCACTGTTAGCTGGTTTCCCACTTGGTAAGAAGGAATTTCCAACTTCTTTACTTCAGAAGATCGAAAATTCTGCATAACCTAGAGAAGGAAAACACCCCAACCCCAATTTGTCAAGTGTCTGAACCCACCTCCAGGAAAAAGTATATCAGACTACCTGGGGTCAGGAAAGAGCACTAGTTCCCCGTGCAGCAGTCCCAGGTCAGTTCGGGTGAGCCCAGAAGTTCCTTGATAGCCCCCTAGGAGCTCACAGGTCTGGTGGTTTGTTTTGTTAGTCCTGAACTCATGATGCTTCTTGCCTCGGCCTCCCAATGTTGGGGCCTTTGCCGCCATGCGCCAACTTTCGGTACCGGGCATCGAACTCGGGTCCTTGCACTTGCGGGGCAGGCGGCAGCACCACTGCGCTAAATCCCTGGATCCCGCTCTCTTGAGACTAAGGCTCTATATCCCGCAGAAGCTGGGCTGAGGGTCTAAGCAAGCAGGACGAAGGCGCCAGGGTGGCAGGAGGCAGGCAGCAGGCGGGCAGACCAGAGGGCGGCGCGAGGGGTGGGAACCAGCGCGGCTCC